TAGATCTTTCAGCAATATATTATCCTAATTTACCCAGAAAGCAAAATAATGATAAAACTGCTGTGAAAAGCCACACAGCCGTGGAGAGAGAGCAGGGCAGCTGGAACAGACACTAACGCATACAGCATGCACAGCTTACCCAGGTCATGGCAAAGACCAGCAATCTCCACACACAGCTCGTCCCTGGGGCTGATCGCCAATTCTGGTTGCTTTTTTTTCAGGGTCCTGACCAGCTGTCCAGCCAGGTGTGCCACCCTGCAAGAGGAACCGGAAGCCAGACATCACCTCCAGGGGCTCTGGTGTAGGTGCATTGACAGGCTTGTACACAGCTTTATAAAGGAGAAAACTTAATATTGAGGTAAGTGCCAGGAACAACACTTCAGGCTTTTTATTGAATACAGAATATTACAGGTTAGACATAAGAGAATGAAGAATGAATGAAAGTGAACTTGCCCGATGGAGTGCTCAAAGCGGTTGTGGCTGGCTCCCGGGTACACAAAGTATACTGCCCCCATCTGCTTGATGTTACGCAGCCTGTTGAACTGTGGGGTGTTTATGATGCGCACAAGCAGGGGGTGCAAAGAAATGTGTCCATGGACGGAGTCATTGTACACCTGTGAAGAACAAGAGATCCTCTGTAACCACCTAACTCAACACTTATATTTGACCACACCCTTCAGTGAGCAAACATCCAGCTTTACCTTAGAGCCTGATGGTCTTTGGGCCATCACAGCGCTAAGAGAGGAGAATAGACACAGCATGAATGAGTTAGTCATTAAAACCACAGTCTGGTATGACTGCATTTTTCTTGGCATCATAATCAGCAAACTCACCAGATCCCCATCTCCTCTAGCTGAGTGTCTGTGAGGTACTGCAAGCAAACCACAGTGATCTACTTATCTAAGAGAAAAAATGATACATAAAAATCACCTTCCACCCAATGAGATCCCTGGAACACACAGGGCCCCATTTTAACATTTTAAAGTGCACAGTATGAAGTGCACTGTGCAAGTTGTTTTAGAGTGTGGCCAATGCACTTCTCTCGACATGGCCCAGAAGGGTTGTACTAAGTCTCCTAATTAGTCATGTTATTAACCAATCAGTGTCATCTCCCATTCCCTTTAAGAGGCAGGTGCGCTTGCTCCTTGGTGGATTTTTATTGTAAGGCGGATTTGCCAGATAGTGAAAAAGAACGCTTCTCTGCAGAGGATACGGATCTGCTTGTGTGTGAAGTGAAAGCGCGTGAGCAGACCATCAACAGCAACAGCAGGATTCCACTAAAGTAGACGTCTGCATTCTTATCAGAGAAATCGAAGCAATCCTTCATAATATGCAGCTTTTGGCTGTAGAAACAGACATGGATCCTGCTCCAGTAACATAACCTTCCACCAGTTGCTGGGTTTACTGATCAATGTATATTTTTGTATTGCCAGTCATGTGATATTCCCAGTGCAAACATACGTTTTGCAATCTTCAGAATAGTCCTGAGCAGTTAGCTGTTGTACAGTAACAGCAGCTAGCAGCGAATTATAACGTGTCTCAGTCAGTTGCAAGCAAAAGAA